CATCTTTCTCCTCCTCCTCCTCCTCCACCTCTCACGCATGTCCTCACCTCCATGTTTCTCCTCCTCCATCTCCATCTCTCTCGCCTGTCCTTACCTCCATCTTTCTCCTCCTCCTACTCCACCTCTCACGCCTGTCTTCACCTCCATCTTTCTCCTCCTCCTCCTCCATCTCTCACGCCTGTCCTCAACTCCATCTTTCTCCTCCTCCACCATCTCTCACGCCTGTCCTCACCTGCATCTTTCTCTTCCTCCTCCTCCATCTCTCACGCCTGCCCTCACCTCCATCTTTCTCCTCTTCCTCCACCTCCATCTCTCACGCCTGTCCTCACCTCCATCTTTCTCCTCCTCCTCCATCTCTCACGCCTGGCCTCACCTCCATCTTTCTCCTCCTCCTTCTCCATCTCTCACGCCTGTCCTCGCCTCCATCTTTCTCCTCCTCCTCCTCCTCCATCTCTCACGCCTGTCCTTACCTCCATCTTTCTCCTCCTCCTCCTCCATCTCTCACGCCTGTCCTCACCTCCATCTTTCTCCTCCTCCTCCTCCATCTCTCACGCCCGTCCTCACCTGCATCTTTCTCTTCCTCCTCCTCCTTCTCTCACACCTGTCCTCGCCTCCATCTTTCTCCTCCTCCTCCACCTCCATCTCTCACGCCTGTCCTCATCTCCATCTTTCTCCTCCTCCTCCATCTCTCACGCCTGTCCTCACCTCCATCTTTCTCCTCCTCCTCCTCCATCTCTCAGGCCCGTCCTCACCTGCATCTTTCTCTTCCTCCTCCTCCTTCTCTCACACCTGTCCTCGCCTCCATCTTTCTCCTCCTCCTCCTCCTCCATCTCTCACGCCTGTCCTCACCTCCATCTTTCTCCTCCTCCATCTCCATCTCTCTCGCCTGTCCTCACCTCCATCTTTCTCCTCCTCCCCCTCCTCCATCTCTCACGCCTGTCCTCACCTCCATCTTTCTCCTCCTCCTCTTCCATCTCTCTCGCCTGTCCTCACCTCCATCTTTCTCCTCCTCCTCCATCTCTCATGCCTGTCCTCACCTCCATCTTTCTCATTCTCCTCCTCCTCCATCTCTGACGCCTGTCCTCACCTCCATCTTTCTCCTCCTCCTCTTCCATCTCTCACGCCTGTCCTCACCTCCATCTTTCTCCTCCTCCTCCTCCATCTCTCATGCCTGTCCTCACCTCCATCTTTCTCCTCCTCCTCCGTCTCTAACACCTGTTCTCACCTCCATCTTTCTCCTGCTCCTGCTCCTCCTCCATCTCTTACGCCTGTCTTCACCTCCATCTTTCTCCTCCTCCTCCTCCATCTCTCACGCCTGTCCTCAACTCCATCTTTCTCCTCCTCCTCCATCTCTGACGCCTGCCCTCACCTCCATCTTTCTCCTCCTCCTCCATCTCTCACGCCTGGCCTCACCTCCATCTTTCTCCTCCTCCATCTCCAACTCTCACGCCTGTCCTCATCTCCATCTTTCTCTTCCTCTTCCTTCTCCATCCCTTACGCCTGCCCTCACCTCCATCTTTCTCCTCCTCCTCCTCCATCTCTCACTCCTTTCCTCACCTCCATCTTTCTCCTCCTCCTCCTCCTCCTCCATCTCTCACGCCTGCCCTCACCTCCATCTTTCTCCTTCTCCTCCATCTCTCATGCCTGTCCTCACCTCCATGTTTCTCCTCCTCCTCCTCTCACGCCTGTCCTCACCTCTATCTTTCTCCTCCTCCTTCTCCATCTCTCACGCCTGTCCTCACCTCCATCTTTCTCCTCCTCCTTCTCCATCTCTCACGCCTGTCCTCGCCTCCATCTTTCTCCTCCTCCTCCTCCTCCATCTCTCACACCTGTCCTCATCTCACTCTTTCTCCTCCTCCATCTCCATCTCTCTCGCCTGTTCTTACCTCCATCTTTCTCCTCCTCATCCTCCTCCATCTCTCACGCCTGTCCTCACCTCCATGTTTCTCCTCCTCCATCTCCATCTCTCACGCCTGTCCTCACCTCTATCTTTCTCCTCCTCCTCCTCCATCTCTCACGCCTGTCCTCATCTCCATCTCTCTCCTCCTCCTCCTCCTCCATCTCTCACGCCTGTCCTCACCTCTATCTTTCTCCTCCTCCATCTCCATCTCTCACGCCTGTCCTCACCTCCATCTTTCTCCTCCTCCATCTCCTTGCTCCCTTCTTTCCTTCGTACTTTTCTCTCTTGCTCCTGCACTTCCTTCCCTTCTCTGTCTTTTTCCATCCTCTTCTTCCTACTTCTCTCCCTTGCTTCCTCTTCCCTCCTTTCCCTTACACCCCTTTTCACTTACCACCCATCCTCTTCCCCTCACTTCCTCAACTTCCTCTTTCTCCTTGTATGAATTCTCTTCCAGTTCCTCATTGCTCCTCCTCCCTCCTTCTACCCTTTTCCTTTTCCCATCATCTCCCACTTTCTGTCCTGCTTCCCCCTCCCCTTCTTGCTCCCTCTATGTTTCCTCTTGCATACTTTCTCTTCCTTCTCTTTATCCTGTCTTCCCTTCACGGTCTCCTTTTCCTGCCTTTTCCTCTTTCTGTTCCTATAGTTTCTTCTCCTCCTTTCCCTCTTTCTTTCCCCTTTGTCTTTCTCCTCCCCATCCTCTCATTCCTTTCCTCACTCTTCTTTTCCTCTACTTCTCCAGCTTCCCCTTTTTCTACCTCATTGTCTTCCTGGGGGGGTGATACAGGGTTTCTCTGTGGCTTTGGAGGCTGTCCTGGAACTAGCTCTTGGCCTCAAACTCACAGAGATCCGCCTGCTTTTGCCTCCTGAGTGCTGGGATTAAAGGTGTGCACCACCACCTGACTCCCTCGTCTTGACAGTTCCTGCAATCCTCCTTCCTCAGCTCTCTCTTGTCCTTTTCCTCCCTGTGGTCTCTCACCTTCCTTCTCCTACATCTCTCACCTCTCCCCTCAGTTTCTCACCTCGTCTTTACCAGGTCTCCTTTCTCTCCTCCTCTTCTGTCCTCCTTTAATCTCCATGTCTTCCTCTCATTTCTTATTCTACTACTCTTCCTAATCCTAGCTACTCTCCTCCACTTCCGAATTATTTCCTCCCCATCTCCTTTCTTGCTCATTCCCTATTCCTAATCTTTCCTTCTCTACAACCCCTTCCTCGTCCTCTCTCTGTTTCTCTCTTCCTCCTTGCCATGGTCTTCTGCAAGCTCTGCCTCTTCTTTCCCATCCTGCTTCTCTTGTTTTCCCTTCTACATTGACTGCTTTCCATCCTTCCTATTGGCTGGTTTTCCTCCTCCCTTATTCCTGTTCTTCCGCTGCCCCTTCCTCCTGGTCTTCCTCTCCTCCCTTCCTTATTCCTGTCCTTCCGCTGCCTCTTCCTCCTGGTCTTCCTCTCCTCCCTTCCTTATTCCTGTCCTTCCGCCGCCCCTTCCTCCTGGTCTTCCTCTCCTCCCTTCCTTATTCCTGTCCTTCCGCCGCCCCTTCCTCCTGGTCTTCCTCTCCTACTTTTTATTTTCCTCAGGCTCTTGCACCTCATGCTCCTTGTTCTCTCCACATTCTCCCTCCTGTCCCTGCTACTCCTGACAGCCCTTATTTCCCTTCCCTCTTTTTCTTCCTTCCTCTAACCCTCTCCTGATGTCCCACTTTTCTTCTCTTCCTTTTTATCCTTAATTCAACTCTTTTTCTCTCTTCCCCCTCAATTCCTCCTCCTTTATGCTCCCTTCTCTGCTTCTTCTAATACTATCCATCTTCATCCCTTTTCTCTCCCTTCCCTCTTCTGCTCTGTGTTTTTCTCCTATCCCTCCACACACATCCCTACGGTCTCCCCACACCCTCTACCTTCTCTTTCCCTTTCCTCCTCCTCTTCCTCCCCATCCCTCTGTTCCCTTCACAGTATTGCATCCAATATCTCTGCTGCCCTTCCTCCTCTGACATCTCCTACTGTTCATGCTTCCATCACCCTAATTATTTCTACACCTCCTCGAGCCCTCCTCCTCTCCCTCCCCTCTTCTTCCTCCCTCCCCTCCATTTCCTGTGTCCTCTACTTCCCCTTCCTCTCCTCCATCTTTTCTATCTCCTTCCCTTCTTTCCCCACTCTATCCACTCAACTCCTTTCCCCCCTTTCATCTTCAATCTCCTCTGTACCTCCTCTTCCTCCATCCCCTCCTCCACCCACTGTATGCCCTCCTCACTCACCCCTCCTCTATCTGCTCTATGCCCTCCCCACCCACCCCTCCTCTATCTGCTCTATGCCCTCCCCACCCACCCCTCCTCTATCTGCTCTATGCCCTCCTCACCCACCCCTCCTCTATCTGCTCTATGCCCTCCCCACCCACCCCTCCTCTATCTGCTCTATGCCCTCCCCACCCGCCCCTGCCCCTCCTCTATCTGCTCTATGCCCTCCTCACCCACCCCTCCTCTATCTGCTCTATGCCCTCCCCACCCGCCCCTCCTCTATCTGCTCTATGCCCTCCTCACTCACCCCTCCTCTATCTGCTCTATGCCCTCCCCACCCGCCCCTCCTCTATCTGCTCTATGCCCTCCTCACTCACCCCTCCTCTATCTGCTCTATGCCCTCCCCACCCGCCCCTCCTCTATCTGCTCTATGCCCTCCCCACCCACCCCTCCTCTATCTGCTCTATGCCCTCCCCACCCGCCCCTGCCCCTCCTCTATCTGCTCTATGCCCTCCTCACCCACCCCTCCTCTATCTGCTCTATGCCCTCCCCACCCGCCCCTCCTCTATCTGCTCTATGCCCTCCTCACTCACCCCTCCTCTATCTGCTCTATGCCCTCCCCACCCACCCCTCCTCTATCTGCTCTATGCCCTCCTCACTCACCCCTCCTCTATCTGCTCTATGCCCTCCCCACCCGCCCCTCCTCTATCTGCTCTATGCCCTCCTCACTCACCCCTCCTCTATCTGCTCTATGCCCTCCCCACCCGCCCCTCCTCTATCTGCTCTATGCCCTCCTCACTCACCCCTCCTCTATCTGCTCTATGCCCTCCCCACCCGCCCCTGCCCCTCCTCTATCTGCTCTATGCCCTCCCCACCCGCCCCTCCTCTATCTGCTCTATGCCCTTCCTCCTCTTCCCCGCCTCTATCTCCTCCACCCTTTGCCTACTATACCGAGTCTGTAACTTCCTCTCCTCTAACCCTCCAGCCCCTCTCTAGTTCCTCCTCCTTCATCTCCTTTACCTCAAACCCCTTCAATTTCCTCCTCCAGTTACTCTACTTCCTGTCTGCCTTCTCTACCTCCTCCGTCTATTCTACCCCTCCTCGTCCTTTGCTCCTCCTGTCTCCTCCTCTCCTCTTCTCCAACTCTATTCTCCTTTTCTGCTTCTCCCTTTGTCTTCTCATCCTCTTCCTCTTTAATCTCATGTATTCCTTTTCATTTACCCTAAACTTCCTCTGTCATCAACTTCCTCTGTTGTCAACTTCCTGTCAACTTCCTCTGTCATCGACTTCCTCTGTCGTCAACTTCCTCTGTCATCGACTTCCTCTGTTGTTGACTTCCCTTTGCCTGCCATCTTTCTCTCCTCAGCCTCTCTCCCTCTGTCCCCTTCCCACCTCCCCTACTCCATCTTTTTCCTCTGTCTTCTCTATTCCTTCTTCTGCTTCCTCTCCCATGTCTCCCTCTTCCTTCCCCTCCTTTATCTCCTCTCCCTTTCTCTTCCTGCCTCCCTCCATCTCCCGTCCTTGTACCTCACCCCTCCATTTCCTCTGCCTCCTTCTCTTACTTTTGCTTGTTTCCAGCCAACCTTCTCCTGCCCAGCTCCTGCTCCTCCTTCCCAGCCTTCCTCCACTGTGCTCCTCCTCCGTCCCCTGGCTCCGTTTTCTCGTCTCTCTTCTAGGCCTCCCTCCTACGGCTCCTTCCTCCTGTGCTCACACATCATCCTGCTCTTCATTCTCTGACTTTCTTTCCTCTTTTCTCCTGTCCCCCTTTTCCTCCCTCTAATGTCTCCTATTTTATCAGCTTCCTTTTCTACTGTCCCCTTCCACTGGCTCCTTCCCCTGCCCTCCATTTCCTCACTGGCCTTTTTCCTACCCACACAAACTCCTGTTTTCCTTTCATCTCCTTTTCTTCTCCCCTCTTCCTGCCATGTTCCATCCTTCTCCCTGGTCTTCCCCCTTCCTCTGCTTTCCTCCTTACCCCTGTTCTTCCTGGGAGCCTCTGCATCCTTGCTGCCTCCGCCATGGCTCCTCTGCTCTCCTCCCTGCTCGCACCTGCTCTTGATCCCAGTCCCTTCCTCCTATGCCTCCTTTTGTCCTCCCTCTTCCTCCTTTGCTACACCCTCCTCCTCTTCCTCCTTTGTCCTCCCTTCTCTCCTACTTACCCTGTCTCCAGCTCAGTAACCTTCTTCCCCACCACCACCTCCCAATCCCTGCTTCACTTTCTTCCCACCTCTCCCTCCCCCTCCCCCTTTCCTATGGCACCTTTGCTCTTTTTTAAATCTGTCTCCCTCTCCCTCCTCTCCCTCCCCCTTTCCTATGGCACCTTCGCTCTTTTTTAAATCTGTCTCCCTCTCTCTGTACCTTACATGCACTCTAGTGTCTCTTTTTTCTTTTGCTTTTTCAAGACAGGGTTTCTCTGTGTAACATCTCTGGCTGTCCTGGAACTCGCTCTGTAGACCAGGCTGGCCTCAATCTCAGAAACTCACCTGCCTCTGCTCCTGAGTGCTGGATTAAAGTGCGCACCACCACCGGGCTCATTTCTCCATCACAACATTCCTGTTCCACAGCTCCTCCTGCCTTGTCCTGATGCCTCTTCTTACCTGTCTTCAACCTCCTCCCTTCCCGCTGGACTTCCCTGCCACCCGTGCAGGTTCCTAGCCTCTGAGGATGTGAGGGCGGGATACCCAGTGCCTGATGTCCTCCTGAGTCCCTCCACACAGTCCTGCTGGCTCTGGGTCCCCTAAGGAATGCAGTCAAGGGAGTTCAGTGCGCCCAGCTCCCCTCACCTCTACCTGCCATGTCTTCCCTGCTCTTTTCTTTACTCCCACCTCCTGCCCCTCCCTACACCTCCCATTTCCCCTTTCTGGGACTCTCTGCCCTTGCCCTCACTGTTCTTTCTGGAATCTGCTTTTGTTCTGTTCCCTATCACGACCACTTTCTTTCTTCCTCCATTTTCTTACAACCCGGGCTCTCCCAACACTGTAACATCATCAGCACACCCTGGTATTTATTCCTCCCTCATCTAAACTTCTGTTACCCCATCTCCCTTGGCATCGCTGCTGTTTATCTTCCTTGGCCACTTCCCTGCCGTTCCTGTCTTTGCTTTTCGGTCTCTCCTACTCGCCTACCCACTGCTTCATGGTGCCGGTCAGCCGGTCACTCTCCCTCTCCTTCCTGGCTCACCCCGTAGGGTGCTCCCCGTGGTGCTCTACTCAGTCCCTCAACTCCCATGGTCCTCCTGGTTTTTCCTCCTCTTTCTCGCACTCTGCCTATCATCCCCAGCGTGTGTGTGCACGCACGCACCTTGCGTAGGCTAGAGATCAACATTAGGCACCACCCGTCTAAGTTTTTGCTGCTTGTATATGCACATGTATTTACGGTGTGTCACCTGTGAGCACCTGTGTGTGCAGCTAACAAGTCAGCATTTGCTGTCTGCTCTGTGATTCTCAACCTTATTTTATTTATTGGTGTGGGGTTTTTGGTTTTGTTTCTTTGGTTTTGAAGTTTTTGTTTGTTTTGTTTTTGGTTTGTTGATTTTTTGAGGCAGGTTTCTCTGTGTAGCCTGACTTACCTGGAACTCACTCTGTAGACCAGGCTGGCCTTGAACTCAGCAATCCGCCTGCCTCTACCTCCCAAGTGCTGGGATTAAAGGTGTGTGACATCACTGCCAGGTTCTCCACCTTAATCTTTGAGATAAGGTCTTCTGTTGAACTTCCAACTTGCTGATACGGTGAGGCTGGCCAGCCAGCAAGTCCTGGGATCCACTGCCTACCTCCCCAGCACCAGGGTTCCAGGCACATGCCAAGCTATCCTGTGAGTGCTGGGACTCACACCTGGGTTCCTGCTGCACAGCAAGCACCCACCAATAGGCCTGTCTCCCTGCCCTACCCATTTGTCTCTTCTTCCTCCTGTTCTTTGATCTCTCTTTCTCCTCTTCACTCACTCTCTCCTTCTCCTCAACCCCTGTAAGTGGGCTCCTTTCCAGCTGAGTTCCAGCCCCCTGCTCTGGTGCTGTGAGGATCCCCCAGGCTCTGGGAGGGAGGTGGGTCACAGTGGCCACAAAATGTCATGGTAGGAGGCTGATTACCTGAAGCATGGCTACCATGCCAGATACAGGTGTGGGGCAGGCTCTCTGTGACACTTTCTTTTTTCTATCTGTCCTGGATGCTGGACATTCCATGGAGGAATCAAACCCTGAAGGCAAGAAGCAAGGAAATCATCTCAGAGAGGAAAGAGCTGCCCACAGACACAGCGTGTAAGTGGTGGGACCAGAACAGCATGTGACTCTGGGTTGACCAGGGATGGGCTCTGAGACTCAAGTCTGAGACGGTGAAGGATGATTAGACTGCTCTGTCCCCTGCCAGGCCCTTCTCCCTCTCCAGGCATCAGCAATGGAAGGCCTCAGCTGACTGCAGTTTTCCAGATGAGAACATGTGCACCATCTGCAGGACACAGGACCAGCAGCGGCTAGGAAAGAGGTTTCTTAGGACCCACCAGCCTGAAGGACCAACACGACACGCCCAGCCCAGCCCAGATCCAGATCTGTGTGTGTGTGTGTGTGTGTGTGTGTGTGTACGCACGCGCACACGCAATGGGACTGTCTGCAACCAAGTTGTATTAGGCACTGAAATTTGTCCCCAATAAAGGACAGTTGGGGTGAGGAAAGCTGTAGGGGGATATGGAAAATCCTGTAAAAATGAGTATTTTTGCTCCTAATAGAGAAATATCCACAAACAAGTGTTTGTGTGTTTTTCTGAGACAGGGTCTTATGCTGCCCAGGTTGGCTTTGAACTCCTTATGTAGTCAAGGGTGACCTTGAACCTGATCCTCCTGCCTCTACTCCAGTGCTGGAATTACAAGTCTGTGCCAGAACACCTGGCTTCAATCAGATTCTATGAAGTCTTGCACCTCTGAGCCTTACACTGGAGTCACTCAAGGTGACTGTCTGCATTCCAAGGGGGGACCCAGGCCTAGCAGGGGGTAGAATGGAAAACGGGTCTTTGATTATGCAAACCTACTGCAGGTCTGTGAACAACCCATCGTCTTGCTAAATGGAAGGTGGGTGCAAGCCGTGGTGAGTGTCTTAGTTAGGGTTTCTATTGTGATGAATCCCCATGGCCAAAAGCAAGTTGGGGAGGAAAGGGCGTATTTGGCTCCCACTTCCACATTGTAGTCCATCACTGAGGGAAGTTAGGGCAGGGCAGGAACCTAGGGGCAGGAGCTGATGCAGAGGCATGGAGGCTGCTCACCATGGCTTGTTCAGCCTGCTTTCTTATAGAACCTAATACTACAGCCCAGTGACAGTACCACCCACAATGAGCAACTAATTAAGAAAATGCAGCCAGCGGGCAGTGGCATGCACATTTAACAGAGGAAGGTGTATCTCCTGAGTTCAAGGCTAGCCTGTTCTACAGAGCAAGTTCCAGAACAGTCAGGACTACAGAGAAACCCTGTCTCAAAGGGGGTGGGGGCAAAGGAAAAATGCCCTACAGCCAGATCGCAATGGAGGAATTTTCTCAATTGACATTTCCTCCTTTCAGATAACTAGCTTGTGTCAAGCTGACATATAAACTAGCCAGGACAGTGGGCAACAGGTAGAAGCCCAAGAATGCCTCCTGCTCTGGTCAGAGCACTTCCCTGGAGGGTAAGAAGCCACCAGAACTCCAGGAGCTACAATGGGACAGCAGAGTCATGCACAGTGTTAAAGTAGCCGAGGACAGGTTAAGTGCCAGCCTGAGGCTAGAAACCAGAAAGGGGAAGCTTCCTGGGAAACGAGAAAGGTATCCATGGATGGGACAGGAATTAGGAGGCATAGTCCACCCCCTGAGGCACCTTCATCTTATGCCTGTGGCAACAGTCTGGGAAGGGTCCAGGAGAGGACCAAGGGCTGAGCTGAGGCCAGGTAAGTGGGCACAGGGACTGGCAGACGGATGGGGCTTCAGAATTTAAGCCTAGCCTGGTGCACTGATTATAGGTATGAAATGCCAGGCCAGGAGCTGGACTGTTTGTCCTGTGGGAGCTGGAAAGCACGGGGTCAGCTCCGGTGTTAAAGCCAGAGATGGCTGGGCAGTGGCTGGGAAAGCCAGGGTAGACTCAAGGTCCGGGAGGGAACAGATGTAGCTCCAAGTGGGTGTCCTGCCACGGGGCTACCTCTAGAGCAGCCTGGAGGGGCAGAATAGTGGGGTGGGGATGGTGCAGAGCAGGGCCCTGTCCTGAGACTGGACCAGTGACAGTATTTCTAGAGCAATGATCCAGGAGCCACTGTGCAGGGGCGGAGGCAGACGTGACTGCAGTCTGGACCTAGGGGCTGTCTGAGAAGCAAGGCTGCTGGAGCCACTGGCGGGACGGTAGCTGATGCAGAGCATCAATGGGCCCCAGACAAGTGAGAACGCATAGGTACACACACCAGCTCAGAGCTCACCCGGCACGTCACATGGGCAGCATCCTGCAGACACATATGGTAACACACACAGGTGCACAGGTCTCCTGCAGCACTGGCCAAGCAAAGCCAAAGACCCATCGCCGACTGGCTGCGAACAAATACGCTCCATGTGGAGGGTGAGGCTGGTCTTCTCCGGTGTCACACAAGAGGTCCAGGCTTTTGCAAGACCATCCTGCAGAGACTGCTGTTGCTCTGTCTGCACGAACAGCAGCTGCCTCTCAGAACAGGGATGGGAAGCTTCATGTGGAGCTACGGTGTCCAGACTCCTGGACACTCTGGTCAGTGAGCTCTCTGGAGTCACACAAGAACTGGGAGTTTAGCTGGGATGGGGCCCCGGGGAGGCTAATGGACTCAGCAGTTAGAACACAGGAGCACAGGCTGGAAAAAACCTCAAGTAGAGGGAAAGCCACCAGCTAGACACACCACAGCTCCACCCACTGAAACGCAAAGACGGCTCTGCTGGTGTCTCTTCAGAAAGTTCCGGCACATGCACATTGTAAAAATCTGTTCTTTCTCTCACACTCTCTGGACCTTGCTGTGACCTCCATGGGACAGGAGTCATCTATTTCCACCACATGGATCTCAGGACTGAACTCAGGTCATCAAGCTTTGCCTGCTGAACCATTCCGCCAGTCTCAAACACATGGACACTGTATGAAAGCGTGTCTCCCACATGTTCCCACGCCGCCTCCCCTTCCTCTCCTGTTCCTGTCCTCCGGGATTGTTCCACGTCTGATCATCTCTACAAAACCCAGGGGCCGCCGGGCGTTGGTGGCGCACGCCTTTAATCCCAGCACTCGGGAGGCAGAGGCAGGTGGATCTCTGTGAGTTCGAGGCCAGCCTGGTCTACAGAGTGAGTTCCAGGACAGCCTCCAAAACAATACAGAGAAACCCTGTCTCGAAAAACCAAAAAAAAAAAAAACCCAGGGGCTGCAAATGAGAGGCCATGTTTGGTGTTTGTCAGCCAGGCTTAGCTACATCCATTGTCCTGTAAACGTGGCTTCATTCTTTGTCTGAAAACAACTCCATTGTGTATATTTATATTTTCCTCACCCACTTTGCTGTCACTGGACACCAAGGGTAGTTCCATGCTCTGCAGCCACCGTGTGGGAGCTGCTCTGTGGAACACTGACTTCCAGGACTCCAGGTAATTGCCCACGAGGCAGAGCGGGGTCAGATCTACATGGTGTGGAAGGCCTAACACCAGTTTACAGAGAAGCTTCTGTACCCGTTTCCACAGAGGTGTTTGATGTCAGACACACCCTCGCCAGCACTTGTTTTAACTGGCTGGGGCAAGGCAGAATCTCAACATAGGCGTTTGCTGTTCTGAACCAGGGCCTCTCAGGTAATGGGCAAGCACTCTGAGTCACACCGAGCCTTCCCTTCCCTGGCAACCGTAAACATTCTTCACGTTGAATGTTACCCTTTCACGATAGTCTATTCACTGCTCATCTGCCCTTAGTATTTAGTTCTTTTATATTCTTGATTGTTTGGCAGTGATGGGATGGAGCCCAGAGTCTTCCTTAGACATGCTGGGCAAGCATCAAATCACCAAGCTACACCCCTGCCCAGGAAGCAGTACCTGAAATTAGACAAAATATTGAGATTTGCGCAGACCTTCCAGAAAATAAACAGTCTGTGCCTCTGGAACGATCAAGAAAGGTCAGCACAGGATGGAGACAGAAGTACAGCCTCTGCTGCTGTCATCCTCCTGGTCACCATGGAAGTTGGCAAGATGCTAGGCCACCGTTCCAGGCACAACAGTCAACCTCCATAACACCAAGGGGATGGGACTGGCCAGACCCCTGGAGCAAGGCCATCCGTCACACTGGAGTGCAGGGGTCTGGACAGCCACACCATCCAGGGAGGAGAGGCTGAGGCACGGAGGCTCAGGAAGGGGCACGCCTCAAGAGGACACACCACGGCGCGCTGATGTTGAAATGGCAGTCTTGAGGTTCCTAGCAGCTGAACAGGCGACACAGGGAGCATTGTGCCCTTTCCCAAGCCCACACCCGAGGATGGCCTGTTGGGGAGGAGGCTTTGATAGCACTGTCGTGGTATAAGGAGAAACACCCCTCACAGGCTAACATCCCAGCTAGCAATGTTCTGGGAGGTTATGGGTCCTTCATTGGAGATGGGGCCCAGCAGAAGCAAGGAGACCTTGAGGGGTGTGACTTTACAGACTACTCAGCTTCCATCACAACCTGACTGGCATGAACTAAACAGCCCTGTCAGGCCGACCCCTCAGGAGCGAGTCCAAACCCCCTGAAGCCAAGAGCCTGTTCAGTCTGTCCTCTGATCAGCTGCTCCTGTCTCGTGGTGACAGCCCAAAGGTGAGTCACACTCCAGGTCACCCTGCAGACACCACACTGAGGAAACTGACCCTCACAGGGCAGGCTGAACGCAGAGAGTGGCCTTGGATTCCGGTTTTATTGTTTGTTCTGTGAGGACAGTCTCAAGTAGCCCAGGCTGGCCTCAAACCTGCTAAATGGCTAAGCAACACCTTAAACTTGTGATCCCCTTGGCTCCTCTCTGAGTGCTGACATGAGTATGTACCACCTCGCAGAGCTGGCTCACGCACTGCACAGCTTCATGCATGGGAAGCAAGCATTCTACCAACTGAGCCCCACTGGTTCTTCAAGACACATCTTGCTGTGTAGCCCAGGCTAGTCCTAATGTCACCAAGTAGCTAAGGCAGCCTTAGCCTACTGAATCTTGGGATTCCAAATGATACCAAATGCACCAACACATGATCCCAGGTTCCACCCTGGCCACCCACTGTGAGATGGCGGAGACAATATGAACCTGAGGGGCTGCTGCGCCACCAAGTGTAGATGAAGTGTAGATGTCCAGGAGGCTCAGAAAGCAGCCTCCTCCTGCTGGTGTCCCTGCTCACAGAAAGGTATCCCTCTGTAACATGTCCTATGGAAGCCACTCAGACCTAAGGCAAGCCAGTGACAGCAGCCATCCGGGACTATTTACAACCACGTAAGGCAGGAAGCCAGCCGAATGGTGGCTGTTTAGGAACAGTTTAATCAACAGCCACACAACACAGCTGAGGCTACACAGCAATCTCCGTGGCCACGGCCACAGATGTGCAAATAAGTGCATGGCGGCTGTCGAGCAGCCAGCTCACCCCTGGCTCAAAACATGCACACGAAGTTGCTACTAGCGTGTACATTCACAAGACAGACTAACGACCAGACCCATAGTTCTCTCCTGGTACCGTACCCAGAGTGGGACATCTGAAGACAGGAAAGACGGAAGTCATCAGGAAGGTGGTCAAAGAGCTCAGCAAGCCACACGGAAGCCACACCAGCAGCAGAGGCCTCCTTGCCACACATCTGTGGCTAGGAGACTCAGTGTGACAGTGAGGGGTGCAGGGGCATGGAGGACAAAGGCACAGGGCTGGAGAGAGCTTGGCATGTTCCCAAACTGCACGATGGGGGGGGGTGTGTGTAGCAAAGGGACACAGTTGCACAGTGCCCGGGGAAGCCAGTGGGCCTGAGGTGGCTACAGGAAGGTGTACCCTAGCTCTCAGTCAACAGACACAGAGAGGCTCAGGGAGAGGAGGGAGCTGGAGAAGGGCAGCAGGATCCAGGGAAGGGACAGCCTTCCACGTCCATGCAACAGGGAGACGGAGGAACAGGGATCCTTCTTGGGCTGCCCAAGGACAGCAAGCTCTGGGGGACTCTCGGTGGCACAGCAGCTCACCGGCCGCTGCCGCCACCCCCCCCACCGCCCTGGCCGCCGGCATCTGGAGCTCCCGACATCATGAGGAACAGCACAACTGGAATGATGTACATCCACTGCAGACGAGAGCGGGAGACAGAGACACAGAGAGGGAGAGGTGTGAGTGGTGAGGCTGGTCCAGGGTGGGGGCCGTGGGAGGGGGGTGGGGTCCCCTAGTCACTACAGGCAGGGCCAAGGGCAGGGGCAGGAGGGTGTGGGCAGAGGGCAGGGTGGGCAGGGATCTGGATCCTCACTTAGGCCTCCGTTGGCGCTGGCGCAGGCCCTGGGGCAGCAGGACGCAGGGCTGTGAGCAACACGGCCCCCCCTAGGATGAGGTGCCACTGAGGGAGGGAGGGAGGCAGGTCAGCCAGGGCTGAGGTTTGCCAGGCCTCGGTCCCTCACATGGGGACTTCTGCGACCCTAGGGGAAGGTGCTTGGCTGTGTCACTGTCCTCAGCACCCTCCCTCTTCACCCTTGAGGCATGCTGGCCCGGCTGGGTCCTTACCTTGTTGGGCCCAGCACAAGTCTCCAGCCTCGAGGGATGGAGGACTATGTCCAGCCGGCCTCCTTACGAGGGCCTGCCCCTTCAGGAGCCTGGGCTTTACAGAAGCCTCAGGCCAGCCGCTGCCCTCTGGCTCCTCTGCACCTCGACCTGCCCTCTTACACCTACCCCAGGACTACCTGCCTCCTGGCCCTGGGCCTAGTCAAACTCCCTCACTTCCCTGAACACTAGGCCGCCCCTCCCTTTTGGCCCTCCACGCATGCCCACAGCCTGCCTGTCCATACCCAGCTACCTTCCACACTGCTCTACTCCCAGCAGGCCTGGGATGTCTGTGCACGCAAATGCCCAGCCCAGCCCAGGCAGCTGGGCTTCTAGAGCCGCTCAGCCCTGCACAACTGGATGGGGTCCACAGCCCCCAGCCTCCCACCAGAGGAACACACATAGGCCATCTGCTGGGGCGGGGAGGGCTGGGGGGACAGAAGGAGCCATACTCACATATTTAGCAAAGAAGGACTTCTGCTCCTGAGGGTTCTTGGCCTTCTGGGCCTGCTCCATCTCTAGGCGCTCAATGAAGGCTGCGGTCTCAGGACTTAACACGGGAAGGAAGGGGCAAGGTGAGGGTTAGAGCCCCAGTACCTGGGTGCCTGAGGCAGCCAGCGGTCCTAGACTCCCTACGGCACTCACCCTGGGGCGGTGCCCGGGGGCCGCAGCTGCACAGACGTATTGAACAGCTCCAGGTCCTCATCTTCCACCTCAGAGCCCCGGCAGCCCCCGGGGTATGCGACCACCGACAATCCCACCACGTTGCCAGCCACATCCACATGCAAGGTCAGCTGGTCCGACAGGTGCGACTCCACCAGGGAGCACTGTGGGAGACGGGGTGGGAGTGGTCAGGGGGAGCTACTTAGCTCTGCCGCACTCCCCCACAAATGCACAAAGCGTCCTCCAATGCCCCCAGCCATCCCCAGGCCCCTTGGGCCGTCACTGATTGCAGGAGTTCAAGCTGAACAGTCAGTTCCTCAGGGCCCCAGTGAGGGTTCCATGAAGGGTGTGGACACTGGGGCAGGCAGGAATGAGGATGCAGGCAGTCCTCATCAGTGACTTACCGCCGGGACAAAGGAAGACACGTAGCCACCAGCTTCCGAACCATCAAGTACCCCAGGCCGCCTTGGGACCCGGACTCTGTAAAGGCCATTGACAGCAGCCACATCCTGCAGGGCATGGCAGAGGCCCATGAACTGGACAGTGGCGGCCACTAGACTGGTCAAGAGAATGCCTCCCCAGCCCTCACATCACCTTCCACAGCCCCTGGGCTGACAAGAGTCTGCTCAGCACTCTTCTCCCTGGCTACCAAGTGAGGCCAAAACAGCTGGGCTGCCCTCCCCCTGGTGAAGCCACCCAAGACAGCATGCCACATCAGGGACAGTGCAACCAAGCACTACTAAGCCTGGATCCAGCCACACCTCCCCACTCAACACACCCCAGGTGCCACAGATGGCTGCCTGTGGGGGCAACAAGGCAGAGATTCACATGGGGCCTAGGCAGAGAGGCAGACAGCAGGCCTCTAGATGCCTCCCTGCACAAAGAAGGCACCTGGGCACATGGTCACTGCAGCAAAGCAAGTTCCCCTGCCTCCTTCACACGGGGCAAGGTAAAACAGCTAGCACGACAGTTTTCAGGCAGACCAGCCCGGACAAGGCTGGAACTTGGGAAGGTAACAGGTACCTCATGGGGAGGGGTGGCTGAGCCAGGAGCCACGCCCATTCAGCTGCGGAGGGCCAGTCCCGGGGCCCACGCTTACCCGGAGCCGGCCCCGCTCCTCCTCACTGAGCTGCCGTTGTGTCGCAGACAAGGTTCCATCCTGCTGGTTCCAGAGCAATGAGCCACGCTTCTGGAAGTTGGCTCTATCACCTGTGGAGAGGTGGGCTCAGTATCAACCCCTCAAGTGTGGCCTGCCCATCTCATGGACAGGGGCTTCTCCACACACTCTTGCTGTCAGCACCGCAGTGCTCACAGGGAGGCCCAGCCTTGAGGCTCCCGTGGCCTGCACTGCTTTACAGGATGACTCTGGAATGGTTGTGAGAGCTCTCTGGGCCAACCAGGGCCTGATGTCACATGTGCCTGACTCCATTAAGGAGCTGCAGACAAAGCAAACGGCGAGCTCTGAGCTGACTGGTCACAGCCAGTCAGGCAGACGCTGAGGCTGGCCCTCTCTGCCTTCCCTGAAAGAGGGGCCCCTGTGGCGCTGCCCCAGACCTGTTTCCTCTGCTGCAAAGTGAGCAGATGTTCACACCCACTGCCTCACTCGACTGACTAGGGCCATCTGAGGGAGCGAAGGCAGGACACGGGTCAAAGGTTAGAGAAGTCTGCTCTGACATTCCTTCTTCAGATGACTCGGTCTGGGGTTGTTCCTACACGTCACTGGCAAGAAGGAAATAATATATACATATACATATGTAACATATATATATACACTATATACACAGAATTGCATATATATACTTGTGTGTGTGCACATGCATACATATATATGAGTATGTATGTATACTACTTATATACACATATGAGTATGAATGTATATATTATTTATATACACATATATAAACTTTATTAGAGCAAAGCAATAGTGCATTTTATAGAGGGAGACCCTGTCAAGATTTAGCAACTGGCCACACGAGTTTTAACGTATCTTGATGCGATCCAGAATCACGAGTGGAGTCTCAGTGAAGGACTATAGGTCAGGCTGGGTTGGGGACAGTAGGAAGGCCGTCCACTACAGGTGTGACCATTCCCTAGGCTTGGAGCGTAGAGAGGAGGCTGAGCACAAGTGAGCACACACATTAATTCTCTCTGCTCTAGGCTGTGTATGTGATATGACTAGATGTTTGAAGTTCCCGATTTGACTTCCCTACTATGATGAACTGCAACTGGAATTGTAAAGGAAAAAAATTATAAATGTAAAAGCAGCCAGGAGGTGGAGGCGCACGCCTTTAATCCCAGCACTCGGGAGGCAGAGGCAGGCGGATCTCTGTGAGTTCGAGGCCAGCCTGGTCTACAGAGCGAGTTCCAGGACAGCCTCCAAAGCCACAGAGAAACCCTGTCTCGAAAAACCAAAAAAAAAAAAAACCAAAAAAAAAAAAAAAAAAAAAAAAGAATCTTTGAGTACCTGTGTAAGCAAGTTACAGAAGCCAAAAAACAACTAGCCATACGATAACAAGCAGTCATGGGTGTACATTTTTGGGTGGGGGATCACTGAGTCAGGGTTACGGAGAACTTATCTTCCAGGTGCTAGAGTGAGACAAACAGGTAGTGGGTACCAAGATGGATGCCTGGCATAAAATGGGGTTTCTTCAGCCATCACATGTACATTTATCATATACACGTGTACATTTATCACATGCACATGTGTGCATACACATGGATACACACGTGCAGGTGTGTATGTATATGCATCTATACATGTGTGTGGTGCTTGTGTGTGTAATTTCCATTAACAGAGATGCAACCCAGGCCCTTGGACATGCCAGGCAAGCACTCAATCTTTGAATCCTTGAAGCCAGGTATGGGGCATCTAAAAATAGCTTCTCTTCACCTATCTGTTTCTACCCTCTCCCCAACAGACTGCCAGGCCCCACACTGAACTCACCAATCTCAAACGAATGTTCCAGCAGCAGTCCCACAGTACCACAGCCCTCGCCTTCTCGGCCATCAGCTCCGGCCTGCAGGAGAGACAGGAGTCCCAGGTAAAGACCACTCACATTCTGCGCAGACCAAAGGGCAAGCCTTATCTCCCACTCACATCCAATTAGAGGTGCTTTCCCCAGGACTTCCCTGCTCATGAATATTCATGGTGTAGATTTCCATAGCTCAAAAGAAAACCCTAGAGCTGGGCAGTGGTGGCGCACGCCTTTAATGCCAGTGCTCAGATGGCAGAGGCAGGTGGATCTCTGTGAGTTCGAGACCAGCCTGGTCTACAAAAGCTAGTTCCAGGACAGACTCCAAAGCTACACAGGGAAATTCTGTCTCAAAAAACAAAACAAAAGAAGAAACAAAACCCTATGAACATGCTTAACTGTTACTCTCATGTCCAAAGTACAGGTCTTTTTTTTTAAGATTTATTTATTTGTTTATTATAAACACAGTGTTCCACCTGCATGCAGGTCAGCAGGCCAGAAGAGGGCACCAGATCTCATTACAGATGGTTGTGAGCCACCATGTGGTTGCTGGGAATTGAACTCAGGACCTCTGGAAGAGCAGCCAGTGCTCTTAACCTCTGAGCCATCTCTCAGGGCCCCCCCCCCACGTTGTTTGCTTGCTTGGTGTTTGTTTCAGTTTCTTTCTTTCTTTCTTTCTTTTGAGACAGTCTCACTGCATAGCCCAAGTTAGTGTCTAACTCATGAAGCCCCACCTCCTAGTGCTGGTAGTACAGGCAAGAACCACCCCAGGCTTTCTCAAGCCGTCCACTCATGAGTCCACAGGCACTGGCCTCCTTTGCATACATGTTAATACCCTGACCGTTCGCATGGTCAAGAATCCCACCCTCTCGTACATCCTTGATCCTACACTTTTTCCATATTCTGAGATAGCCTCACTAAAGCACTCCCAGGTTGGTCTGGACTCAAGGCGATCCACCTGCCTCAGTCTGCTGAGTACTGGGATTACAGATAAGTATGACAACCATCAACTTCATTTTTTTTGGCTTGAATTTTGTATAGGAGTGTTTGCTGCATGTACATCTGTGCCCCACGTGCATGCCTGGCACCTGCTAGGCCAGAAGAGGGTGTCCAATGCTCAGGAAGTGGCGTTACAGACAGTTATGAGCATCCAGGTGGGTGCTAGTTAAGAACCCAGGTACTCCGAAAGAGCAGCCAGTGCTCTTCTCCCCGTCTCTCCAGCACCTTTTTTGTTTTGTTTTGTTTTGTCTGTCTTTTAAAACAGGGTCTTAGGTAGCCCGGGCTGACCTCGAACTCCTAGGATGTCAGGACTGCACCCCCACGCCAACGCCTATGTCTTTTAAGCCTGAATTTGAAGCTTCTCCTACCCAGGCATCCTAAAGTACTCATTGGCTCCTATAGGACCAGGCTTCCTCATGCATATTCAGAAACACGGTTCCACCCCCAGCGCTCGGGCACTAGTGCTGTATCTTTATTACTGAGTCAATGTCTCACTATGTAGACTCGAACTCACCCATCTCTGCCTCCCGAATACTGGAATTGAAAGCATGCACCATCACACCCGCTGTTTTGTATTGTTGAGACAACCTCACGCAGCCTCTGAGCGCTGGAATCACAGGCGTGCACTACCATGCCACGCCCAGGTTCCAAACAGACCGCACCCTCTCATGAATATTCACGTTGCGAGCCCATCTAGCGCCCGCAGGAGGTCGCCCCCTCCCGGCCGCAAGCACTCACCCCGCGCGCGGCGGCCCCGGCCCGGCAGCCGCTGCCTCGGGCCCTGCTAGGAGCCGCGGCTGCTATCAGCAAGAGCACGAGCAGCCGGGTCACCCCAGCAACCGCGGCCACCATACCGAAGAGCGGAGAGGAGCGGAGCGCCGTAAAGCACGCTGGGAACCGGAGTGCATCCTGAGGCTCATGCGCCTGCGCCGCGTGCCGCCTACGCCTGCGCACTAGCACCCGTCCGCCGGCTCCCTCAGGCGTGGCTGCCATTTCTCCATCCGGGTCTCTAGGGCACACCCTCCCGGCGGCACCTAGAAGAGGGGCAACGTTCGTGACGTCATCGAACGCCAGGCGCCTATTGTGATGTCACAGGCGCTGGACCCCCCACATCTTATCCCTCGGGCCTTGGCTCCACCCTGCGTTCCCACCCAGGGCCGGGGCGTGGCGATGAAGGGCGGGCGCGATCTTAAGCCGGCCCCCGGCGGAGCTGGTGAGGCCGGTTCAGATGGGATGGCAGGGGAGGGGAGGAGCCTTGCCCGGAGGGGTTGGCCCTGGTGAGGGAGCCCGGGAAGGCATGGGGCCCGCCATGCGGAGGCCGCTGCCTCGCGTGCGCCCCCTGTCGGGGGACATGTACCTGGCCTCCTGGGGTGGATGCCAGCCCTTCGCCCCTGCAGACCGCCCCCTGGTTCCAGCCTACGCCCCCTGTCGCCCTGGGCGCCTCCAGCGTCACCTCCTAAGCGGCGAGTTCGACCAGCTGCGCGACTTCGCCATCTTTGAGAGCAACTTCGTGCAGGTGTGGAGCCCCGGACCTCCGCCCCTGTGTGGTACCGAGCCCCTGCTCTGCGAACTGTGGCCAGCCCCCATGACCCATCGCCCTGTCGAACCCTCTCCCCTCGCATCGCCGATCCTTTGGCTTGTTTGTGGCTTCAGAAGCCTTTGTCTCAGATTCATCGACTGCACACGCCTATGGTTCTTATCCTTTAATCCTAAAATATCTGCCGCACAAGTTTGTGTGTGTGGTACTGTGGATGCTGACAGGAGCTCTACCGCCTAGCTTCACCCCGCACTAGGCAGGTGCTGTGTACTGAGCCGCATTCCCAGCCCCTAACCCGCTTTCAACTCCCTATTCGTGACCCTGACAAGATTCCCAACACCCACCAGATCCCTGTTCAGTTCAGTCCTCCATCTATCCTGCCTCTAACTTCTGACCCCAGGTGACACGATTTGGAGAAGTCGCCAACAAGGTCACCATGGGGGTGGCAGCCTCTAGTCCAGCCCTGGAGCTGCCAGACCTGCTGCTGCTGGCTGGCCCCGACAAGGAGAATGGACGCCTGCAACTCCTCGGGTGACTGCCCTTCCTGGTCCCTCCTCCATCCTCACAGCCACCATTCTGCTACCCAAGCTTTGGGGACCAAGAGCGGCACCAGTACTTACCAGGCAACCCTGCTCAGAGAGCTGACAGGGAGGTTCCCAAAAGTCACCAGGCAGGCAAGATGAAGGACAGTCCTCAGTGACACCACAGGGTCACAATGTGACACAATGCTTTATGTTTCCCGGGTGCTTCTCTGTCCCAGAGAGATAAAGTAAGACTCAGAGCCCGGGCCCTCGGCCCAGGGTCCCACGGAGCAGGCCAGGAACCGGAGCAGAACCTGAGGCCCCTCACAATTCGTGTCTCAGAGTCAAGTCCACTGCTACGCCCTGCTCCCCACACTGGACACTTAGCATGTGATGGTCAAGGGCCCAAGTGCAGACCTCCACGCAGAGCACCCCCTTTCCCGCCTAGCCCAAGTGCAGACCTCCACGCAGAGCACCCCCTTCCCCGCCTAGCCCAAGTGCAGACCTCCATGCAGAGCACCCCCTTTCCCGCCTAGGCCCCGCCCTGCTCCAATCGCAGACACTTGTAGCTCGTGTGCACACTCTAGTATCCCTTTCCCATACTACCTCAGTTTGTGAGAGACGGGGAGAACACAGGAAAGGGCCCAGCCTAACGGTGCAAGCCTGCCATCCCAACTAACTGCTCAGGAGGTCGAGGCAGGGAGGGTTAAGGCCAGCTTGAGTTATAAGAGTGACTCCTGGCCAGTCTGGACAACTTAGTGAGATCTTTGTCTTTTTTTTTTCTGCTTGGAGAGACCTTTGTCTTAAAAAGTAAAAAGGGGGTACTGTGTTTGCAGGCCAACAGCCATGTAAAAAGCTGGGTAGCAGCTGTGTGTGGTGGCACACGCCTTTAATCCCTGCACTTGGGAGGCAGAAGCAGGTGGATCTCTGTGAGTTCCAGGACAGCCAGGGCTGTTACAAAGAAAAACTCTGTCTTGAAAAAAAAATTTTAAAGTCAGGTCCCATGGTAATCCCAGTATTGGGAAAGACAGAGATGAGGATCCTTGGAGTCTGCTGGCCAGCCAGTCTACCCAATCATTTGGGTTCAGGTTCAGTGAGAAACCCTGTCTCAGAACTAGAGGTGACAGTGATGGAGGAACACACTTGACATTAACTTGTGGCCACCACATCAAGTGCATGCATACATGCAAGTCATTCCTTTTTTTTTTTTTTTCCCAAGACAGGGTTTCTCTGTGGCTTTGGAGGCTATCCTAGAACTAGCTCTTATAGACCAGACTGGTCTCAAACTCAAAGAGATCCACCTGCCTCTGCCTCCCGAGTGCTGGAATTAAAGGTGTGCACCACCAACACCCCATTGCAAGTCACTCTTAAAGAGGACTCAGCTGCATAGTTCATTTGCCTGGCATGCACAAGGCAGGCAGGCAGGAAGGAAGGAAGGAAAGAAGGAGAGAAAGATTTCAGCTGGACATGGTGACTCACATCTTTAGAGGCAGGGGCCGACAAATCTCTGAGATTAAGGCCATCCTGGCCCATAGATTTCAGTAAGCTGGGGCTATATGAGACCTTGTCTCAAAAAAAGCAGAAAGGGGAAAATGTGCCTGAACTCACTCAATTACCTCCCTGCCTAGTGGAGAACATTACTCAAAGCAGTTTTCTGCCCTGGCAAACTGCACTGTTTTCAGCAACAGTGTTTGCATATTAAATACAAGTTTGGGGTCCCTCTGGCCCTTTCATCTCCTGCCTGCAGCCAGCAAAGTGATGAAAAACTGTAATCCCAGCCCTCGGGGGGTGAAGGCTGGAGGATCACAAGTTCAGGGCCAAGCTCAGGGACACAACCAGTTCCACACCAACTGACAGACCCTGTTAGCAATCAGCCCCATCTCCACCCCAGGCTACTTCTGGGTCCAGGCTGAGCCACCTTGACTTGCCCTACTTGTCACTGTAACTGGGACATTCTTGAACAAGTTAGCAATCCCAGACTTGGGGTCAGACTTCATTGTCTCCTCTGTACTGTGCCCGGGTCTCCTCATCTGGAACACGGAGGGGGCGGGGCAGGACAGTCCTTCCTATTTGTGTTTCATGAAGCACCTGGCACAGGGTGAGTAGTGTGTAAATTTACACTTAGGGGACACCCGTTGTCCAGTGACTTGGGGTCACCGTGTCATGTGTATTTGTGTGCACAGGAATGAAGAGGCTGTACACGTTAGGTCCCAGGCAGTATGACCATGTCAGAGGAGGGTGTGGTGGCCCGCTGCTTGCTGTAGCTAACAAACCCCAGGGTTATGAACACAGGCCTTGTTTCCACCCCCTGCTATGTGGCCTGGGCCAGATTACTCACTCTCTTGGGACACTATCTTCCTTTCCTTTGTTAGAGTCTAGCTGAAAGTCTGAGCAATTTGTTTATTCAAATATTCACAAGCACCCTTTCAGTGGTTTTCCATATTAGGGAAACAGGACTGGGCAAAATCAGGCCAGAGTTCAGAATCCAGGGAACCCTCACATTGTAGGCAAAGGAAACAGCATAGATGGAGAGCTGTCTGTCACATGGGGTGATGGAGATTATAAATAGGCCAGAGGCAGACCTCCCTAAACAGGAGCTCTGGTTCACAGGGAGGACCCAGCTTTGACTCCGGTTGGGCTAAGCTAAGATGCTAAGCATGGTCCTCTGGTGGCCCGATGGGGCTCAGATGAGGACTTGGCAGTAGGACAGGACCAGGATGAGAGAGAGGGCCACCAGAGGCATTCCATGACCTATTCCAAACTGGGAGTCCCCGTAGGGATGGCCACAGGGCTAGAGACACCAGGAGGTGCCAGAGGCCGCAACTGAGCCGCCCTTCCCCCGTCAGGCTGTTCCCCTTGCAATTCGTGCAGCTCTTCGTGCACAATGAGAGCCGCCAGCAACTCAAGGTGAAGTTCCGCACGGGTCGTGCCTTCTACCTGCAGCTGCGCGCGCCCGCGGAGACCCGCGACCGCGAGTTCGGCCGCTGGGTGCGTCTGCTCTACCGCCTGCGCTTCCACTCGCTCGCCTGCGCAGTGCCCTTCACGCACGAGGACACCGCGCCTGAGGACGAAGACGAGGAGGAGGGCGAGGAGGGCGAGGAGGGACAGTTGCGGCCCCCCGAGGTGAGGGTGGGGCCGCGAGCCCGGGGATGTTGGGCCAGGAAGGATGGAAAGGGACCAGGTAGGCCTGCTGGGTCTGAGGGAGGAAGGTTGGATCCTGGATGCCTGGGTCTGAGGGAAGAGGGCTGGGGCCTGGACCCCTGGGTCTAAGGGAGGAGAACTAGGCCTGGATCCCTGCGCCTGAAGAAAGATGTTACCCATCCATTCCTCCTGCTTCTTAGGGGTTCTAAGGAGAAGGCGACAGGGTCTGGCAGCAGAGTGGGAACTGTGGCTGGTATTCCTAGCCCAACTGCCTGTAGGTTCCTGAGGGCACACAGCCCTCCCTGCCTCCTCTTGGCACCAAGTGGGATCTAGGGAGGGAAACCTACTCATTGAAGGGGTGGGCTCAGCCTGGCCACACATGCCCTGTTCCCTGAAAGAGGCCAGCAGCTCTAGAAGGTGGGACATCTGCAGGCCCCCCTATCCCAACCTCAGCCCCCCGTGCTGGGCCGGCTCTCAGATAACACACTCTTCTCCTTAGCTTCAAGCCACAGAGGCCAGACTGGACCCGCAGGTCTCAGAACTCTGGGGACTCTGATTTAGACAAGATCCTTCTAGATCGCCAAAGGATGAGATCAAGCCAGCTCACTTCAGAGCCAGAGAGATGGATTTTTAAAGTTAATAAAGATCGGGCTCTTAAGAACGAACACACAGGTCCTGGCTCTTTATGCCACAGTCGCCAAGGCAGCAGGCTGCCTCTAGGTTTCCCTCTGTGTCCTTGGTGCCTTTCCAGTAGTCTTCTTTCTTTTCCCCCCAGTGGAGATGAAACCCAGAGCCTCCACATTCTAAGGAAGCACTCTTCCATTTAGCCACAGCGTAAGTCGGTCTCTGGGGCATTCTAGGCAGGGGCTGTACCACTGAGGCATGCTCCAGGTCCTCTTTTCTCTTTTATATTTTAATGCAGGGTGTCATTTAATTGCCCAGGGTGGCTCTGACCTTTCTAGCTCTGCCCCAGCCTTTCAGATACCAAGGTGGCAGGTGTATCTAAGCCTGTCTTGATCAGCTTGGATGTGCTGCCCTTTGGGGGTGTCAACCAGCCTGTCTCCATCTCTCTGTGGGTAATAATGTTCACAAGAGTTCAGGCCACAGGGCATGAGATTCCCCTTTGACTATTGTAAATGCCTGCGAAGATGGCAACCTCGATGGTACGTGACCTTTAAGGCTGCTTGTGGCGGGAGCCATCCCGACCCCAGAGTGACTAACCCCACCCCCAGGGAACAAGAATCAGACTCTGGAAGGATGAACACATGATAGTTTGAGTAGCGATATTTTATCACTGTGGTCGTGGTAGCGGATGGATGAGTGCCGCCATCCAAGGGTTGCAGGACTGGTGTCCAGACTCTGCTGACTTCTCTAACAGACGATGAGCTGTCACTGTGGCACTACAGGAGAAATGAGAGCCGGTGAGGCAGAGTGAGGTGGGCTGCGCCATGCCTCTTCCCAACATCACTCTAGCTGCATGAATGCATGTGACCAGCAGATGGGGCAAGGAAGTTCCCACCAGCGACTGTCCCTAACTCAGTGGAGTCATGGTCATTTCTCTCTCCCTCAGCAGGGCCGCATGTAGCCCCAGCTGGTCTTGAACTCAGATATGTAGCCGAGAATGTCCTTGAACTCCTGATGCTCTTGCTTCCTTCTCCCAAGTGCTGGGATGACAGTGATGCAGCACCATGCCCGGGTTTAGCGTGCCGGAGAAGGAACCACGGCTTTACACTAGATGAGCACTCTACCCACAAGCCACATCTCCAGACCCACACCGTTTTCCTTTCTCTTTCTGAGAAAGGTCTCATGGCATCCAACTTTCTACGAAGTCAAGGCTGGCCAGCCTTTTGATGTTCCTGTCTCCAGCACCTAAGAACTGTAGTTGTATTTGTCATGCCTGGCCATTTTATTTTGCATTTGTGCTCTAAAATGTATTCATTGATTTTACGTGTGTGCCTGCTTGAGTTTATGTGCCATGTGCATTCAGGAGCGTATGCAAAGCTTTGGAGCCCCGGAACTGGACCTACAGATGGTTGTGAGTCACCATATGAGTCCTGAGGACTGAACTCAGGCCCTGGAACTGGACCTACAGAGGGTTGTGAGTCACCATATGAGTCCTGAGAACTGAACTCAGGCCCTGGAACTGGACCTACAGATGGTTGTGAGTCACCATATGAGTCCTGAGAACTGAACTCAGGCCCTGGAACTGGACCTACAGATGGTTGTGAGTCACCATATGAGTCCTGAGGACTGAACTCAGGCCCCGGAACTGGACCTACAGATGGTTGTGAGTCACCATATGAGTCCTGAGGACTGAACTCAGGCCCTGGAACTGGACCTACAGAGGGTTGTGAGTCACCATATGAGTCCTGAGAACTGAACTCAGGCCCTCGGGAAGAGCAGCGAGTGCTCTTAATCCCCACACCACCCCTTCAGCCCTTGTTGTTTCAATTTATAGGCTTTTGGGGGGGGGTTGTTTTGTTTCTGGTTTTTCAAGACAGGGTTTCTCTGTATTGTTTTGGAGCCTGTCCTGGAACTCTCTCTGTAGACCAGGGTGGTCTCGAACTCACAGAGATCCACCTGCCTCTGCCTCCCGAGTGCTGGGACTAAAGGCGTGCTCCACCACTTCCCAGCTTGATTTTTTTTTTATAGTATTTTGACAAAATCATACTATGTAACTCAGGCTGATTTACAGTTTGCTCTGTAGCATAGGTTGGCTTCAAACTCAGAATTCTCCTACTTCAGCTTCCTGCTAGATGACAGATGTACACCACACCCCTGACAGATTGATGTCATTTTAAATCCCAAATGGGGATGTCCTGAGAAACTACCAGCCATAGGAAGTCAGTGGGTACCTGCAATGGGGGTACATCTGAGATGACTTAGTCACCCACAAAGAAGACTGCAAAATAGATAGTGGGTGAGCCTGAATCCAGAGCGAAGTCACTGGGCCTGGGGGAGGGGATCCTGGAATCATCCTTGAGGGGCTCACGTCCCTGTCTGCTAAGACGTCATGGGGCCAGTCACATCAGTACGGTTAAATGTCTTCAAAGCAGGGCCAGACTATGCTACCATGTACCCTGGGGCACTGGTCTGCTTCCTCCCTCGGTGTGTACTGAAGCCAGCAAAGGAGATGGACAGTTCACTTCCAGGACAGTTGAGCATGTGCAGAGGCCCGGAGTAGGATCAAATGTGGCTGCTGTGGCCCTACCAATGGCACAGGCTGTCTGCGATAAATGTGGATGAAATGGGAGGACTCAGTCTGGAGCTGGGGACAGGGCTGTAAAACAACACAGTGAACTCCAGGCTGGAGAGGCTGTGCAGGGGATGGTCACCTCAGCTCTCACTCCAGCGGCAAAGGTCAGGAGGAGGCTTGTCCGAGGATTTGAGAAGTAGAAGGTGAAGTCTGAGCTGGGCCTGGTGCCCTTGCATGACCTGTTTCCCCTTCCTGCCTGGGGCATTTGGGTAGGACTGCCAAGGGACCTGGATGAGGGCAGCCAGCGGGGGACCATTCCCTCCTCACCTCGGACGTCCAGCTTGCACTCAGCAAGGGCCTCCCCCAGCTCGTTGACGGCCCGGCAGGAATAGGTCCCTGCATCAAAGGGCGAAGGTCGGCGGATGTTCAGCGTCAGGATGCCCTGGTAGTTTGTTATGAGGAATTTGGGGTCCTCGTGGATTTCCATCTTGTTCTTCATCCATACCACCTTCGGCTAGGGAGGCAAACCAGAGAGGAAGCTGATTCAGAGGGGCGCCACGCCACTCCCTAGGTGACCGGGTGGACTTGAACCAGTCACTTTACCTTCTGACCCCCAGTTCCTCCTCCTGTACAAACAAGTACATGACGCCTAGTGCACAGAGAAGGTGGGACCTCCCATTGTTCTCAAAACAGAGGTTACGTCTTAGGGACCCCAATTTGGCACCATTCCCCCTCTCATCACCTCCCACTGTTCCTGCTCGCCGACAGGGACAGCCCAGATGACGGGGTGCCCATTCAGGGCCCTGGCGCCATCTGTCGCCTCCTCCAGTTCTGCCCTTCCCTTGCCAGGCATCTCCTGGACAGGGATGCCGCCTCCGCTGCCTCAGAACTGCCTGTGTTTCTGTCATGCTTATCACACCACTCAGTTTTATATTATCTGTGAGATTTTAGATCAATGCCATTTTCTCCCCAATGCAAACAACTTCTTTGTCCCATTTGTGAAGCACATATGAAGTCCAGGAAAGTATTTGTGGATTAATGATGTATGTAATTCAGCAAATGGAATGAATGAATGAATGAGCTGAGAAAAATGAGTTAATTGGCACATGTTCAAATGAGATGGTGGATAGATTTATGAATGAATGAGTATACTCAGGCTTGGTGGTGCACAACTATAATCCCAGCACTCGGGAGGTAGAGGCAGGTAGATCTCTGTGAGTTCGAGGCCAGCCTGGTCTACAGAGTGAGTTCCAGGACAGCCTCCAAAACAATACAGAGAAACCCTGTCTCAAAAAACAAACAACAAAAAAAAAAGAAAGTAGAGGCAGAAGGGTCATGTGTTCAAGGCCATCCTAGATGACATGAACCCTTATCTTGAAAAGGAAAAATGACAAGGCCTAGAGAAATAGTTCAGGGTTAAAAGTGCTGCTGCTTTTCTAAAAGACTGGGTTCAGTCCCAGCACCCATGCCAGGGTGCTCATAGCTGCCTGTAATTCCAGGTCCAGGAAATCTAATGCCCTTTCTGGCCTATAGGATACTGCATACCCAACATGCACATACATTTTAAGACAGTTTTAAATTAGAAAAGAGTGAACTTGTGACTGGGTGACTCAGGAAAACCCCAGGGATCTGTACAATTATAAACACCGCTCCCCCGGTTTCCCAGGGAGTGACACTGTCCTCAGTCAGGACAGGAGGGCTTCATGGATGAGGTGTGCCAGGCAGCGAAGAGACAGAGCAGGGGCTGGAAAGTCAGAACTGACTGACACTTGGCCTCCCCCCAAGGGGCTGTAGAGTGGAGCTGCTGGTGCGGTGTGTCTGGGGCCCACGTGCTGCTAAAGGCACCTTTGGGTGGCCTCTGACAGCACAGTTGAGGGCTGCGGCATATCCTGCTACCACGACCCTGTCCGTCAGCGGCGTCAGGAACTTGGGGGCTGTTCGGAAATCATGCTCCCTGTATTCCAGTGGCTTTAAGGTGATTCCTAGGGAAGAAGAGACATGTATAAGGTGGGTCCCACTCCAACCCCAGCCAGGGGCCAACAGCCAGGAGTTGCAGCTCCAAGCCAGGCAACCAGGCCCTGTACCTGTCTTGAGGATCCGAGCGGTGTTCTTGGAGACGCCGGGTGTGTCACTGAGACCGCAGATGTTCTCGCTGAAGATTCGGAAGTAGTACTCATTGCCCACAATGAGATCGGACACTGTGCAGCTGGTGTGGCGATTGTGTTCATAAACATTGAACCACTCCTGGGATTGGGGAAGCAAGCGCACGGAGGACACGCGTGGGTACACACGGAGGGGCAGGGTAGAAGAAACAGACTGTCTTTCCGGTTCCGCCCACTCACATTCTCAATGGCCCAGTCTCCTAGCCTCAGCCTCCCACTGTGAAAGACAGCTCAGCGCCACTCTGCCCAGGCCTCCAGCGCCCCCCAAGCCCTCTGCTCCCTCACCATGGTTTTCTTGTCAGCCTTCTGGACGAAGTAGCCTGTGACCTCACTGTTGCCGTCATCCTTCGGTGGCTGCCACTCCACCAGGGCGTTGGTGCCCCACACCTCCTTCACCATGACGTTCTCTGCCGGCCCGGCCTTCTCTGGAAGGACGGTCGGGGTTACACATCATCCAGGGGTCCGGATGCCTGGCTCTGCCCCTTCCTTCCTCTCCTGATTTTTTTCCCTTGCTTTTTGACTGGTTGTAGTAGCCCAGGCTGATCTCAAACCCACTATATACCCCAGGATTATATTAAAGATTATATTATATCTTCCTACTGCTACTGAGTGCTGAGATTGTAGGCATATGCCACCACACTTAGTTTATCCAGGGCTGCGATGGACCCTAGGGTCTGATGTCCATTGGACAAGCACGGTATCAACTGATGTTCATTGGACAAGCACAGTATCAACTGAGCCCCTGTCCTGCCCCTGCCCTGCCTTTCACCCTTCCTGTTTCAAACCCCCTTCCTTCCCTTTGGCCGTGTTCCTCCAATCCTCCAGTCCCAGACACCCCCCGACTCCCCCTCCTCCCACCCCTTACTGGCCTCCTCCATGGGCTCCTGACCCCGGTCTGATCCCTCCTCCCCCAGGCTCCAGCCTCGCACCCACGACCCGGATGCGGATGGTGGCAGTGTCCTTCATGTTCTCAATCTGCACACTCAGCTCATACTCTCCAGAGTCAGAGCGGGCCGCCTGGCGCACAAAGAACACCGTGTCGAAGTCGCTGGTCCGCACATTCACACGGGAGGTATCCAAGGGAGCCCCACCCTTTGTCCACACCACCTGAGGCCGGGGCTTGCCCTGGGGGAGGGAATAATGTCAGGTGAGTCAGCTCTCCAGGCCTGAGGGCCTGGCTACATCACTGACCCTGGGCCTGATACCATCCTGGACTTGTACGTGACCCAAATCCAGGCTCTGATCCTTACCGAACTCTGGCTACGATTCTGTTTGATTCTAACCCTATCTCTGACCTCCACCCTGACCCCAGCCATAGCCCTGACCCTGACCCCAGCCCCAGCCCTGGCCCTGACTTTAGCACAAACAATGGTCCTGGCCCTGAACTTGACCCTGTCCACAGCATTGGTTCCCCAGCTCCAACCCCAGTCCTTAGCCTGACCCCCCCCAACTCCAACCCTGTCCATAGCCCCAATCCTGGCCCTGACTCTGACCCTGATCCCAGCGCTGACCCTGGTCCTGTTCATAATCCCAACCCCAGGACTACACCGACCCCAGCATGAGTACCTGGAAGGGGATGACAAGGTTGA